TTTATCATACAGCAGAGACAGAAGCAATATCCTACCGATTATGCACAAGTGAAACGTCTCATGGCTCAGGATACAGACATCAGGCTGTCCGGCTCACTTTAAGCTGGCCATCTTGTCAGCATGGGCAACACAAATGCTCAGAGACCTCATCCACAGTGCTTGGACTGCACGTTAGGAATGAGTGAGTTGGGCAGATGGCTTACCACAAGAAAAACATCAGCTCTTCTTTTTTGGATTCCTTGGTCTCGAAGCTTGCATCATACAAGGCATAACGGCAATCCTTCTCGGGAAGCATCTGCACAAAGTGCTTGAAAGGATCGGTGACCGTCACACCGACATCTCCCACCAGAATCTCTTTGCCTTCTTCCACAATAATGCACTTTTTGTCTGGACTGAGGCAGAAGATGACGGCCTTCTTCCTCTTCTTAATTTCCTCAGGCGTAGAGCACTTCCGCACTTTCATGTCGTAGAAGATACGGCATACCTCATCAGCAACTTGTACTCCAGATGCCTGCAAAGACAAAAGCAAAGACCTTTAGGGCTACCACCACTAATTTTCACAATTGCATTACTGCACCGCCTTAAATCCAAGGCTAGAAGACAACTGATACTGGCAATAGTCACCAGTGGCCTGAGAGTCTCATCAGAAAAGGCTGCAGGCCTTCTTTTTCCAGGCCAAGTAAAGAATCTGGAGTCTCAATGCTGCCCACAGTCAGCTGCCAAACCAAAACTATTCTGAAGAAGGCACGATCCTACTTATACTAGAACATTGTTTTGGGGCAGTTTTACATGCATGTCCACCCTTTGTCCTCTGAGGTTTGGTTGAGGCAGATCCTTTGGTATTACAGCAGCTTAATTTTGTTACCCATTTCAGGCTGGCTAGACAATCAAGTCCACGAGGATCTTCTGTTCAAAGTTTCCTAGCCATTTCTAGCATGCTTGCTAGCAGCTTTAGGAACAGAGGTAAAGTATGGCCAAATTCCATGCTTGTCACATGAATGTGGTTTAGAGATCAAGAGGGATGTAGTGGGTTACTGGGACCGTAGTGGTAAAGTTTTTAGCTAAACAAGCCAACTTTCAGAAGTTGCTCTGAATTCAGTGTTTTAAAGGGAGAACGTGCAAGTCTAACAGTAAAAGTGTCTACCTCCCAGCAGTTCCTCCACCAGTTTTTAAAGCAAGCTGCCTGCCTTTTCAAATTTTTTTTTTTCCCTTGAAGTCTGATGGGAAATTCTAGTTACTTAGTGGTATACCCCTGTGCTTGCTGGAATATAAGGTGCAGATGCAGCATCACCAATCTAACATTAAAGGCAGCTGCACAGAATAAGGAGGACAAGACCTAGCTAGAACAAGAGGCTGAACTGCATTTTCAGTCTGCTGCTTTTTTGGGAATGAGACGAAAAAAAAAAAAAAGAGGTGGCAGGGTAGAAGCATTTGTATCTGAGTTTTGTTCTCAGAGTGCAGCAAAGTTATACAGCTTAAAAGCAGCTATGCAATAGTAAATACTGCAAATATGGGAAGCCATACTGGCCAGCGGACACTGCTGGAAGGAAGGACATTATGGTTGGAGCAGTAAAGACCAAATTGAAGCCTGTCCAACGCTCATCTAGCTGTTCAAAAGGCTGCATGCAGTGTAAACAGTGACTTTCCTTTCTAATACTGCTTCTTCCCCTACTTGTTTTTGATCTTCCAAATTCAAATGGCGTTATCCTCAGATATGGCAATTCATATCTCAGAAGGATAATCGCCCTCCTCCCTCTGGGTAAACTGCCACATGTCACTGTTACAAGCAGTGAGCAGTACTGAACAGTCAGGTAAAGCATCATGTGAGATATAACATCTAAAGGTTGAAAAGGCTAAAGGTTGTTCTTTATTTGGTTCTTCCTTAAGCTCAGCTCCAAAACATGTGCTCGATGGATTCGTTTTGTGGGAAATATTGTACCTGGTCAGAGCAGAAGTGTTCTAAAGAAAAAGCAGAGCTCAGCTGCAAAACCAAGGAGATCCGTGGTGAAGGGGAACTGCTTAGTGCTAGATTTCAAACAGGCTGTCCTTGAGAGACAGCTATTAATTGGACAACTACTTAATGTGTATTTTTTTTTTAAAGCTTTGACCAACGCCTACCACGCAGGACATCAGACAGGTCTGGATTCTCCTTTTTCTACCAACATCTCTCCTTGTAGTAGCTGGCATAGCTTTGCTAATCCCATGAAGAGAGGTGGCACAGCTGGCAGAATCTATTACCATGGAGTCTGGCATCTAGATCTCCCAAGTGCTGGTCCTGCAAAACCAGGGCAATCTCACACAGCAGTGAATCTGAGACAGAAGCTTTTCTCTAGTGTGGAGAACGGTGCTCTTCAGGAGTTTACTCAAATACAAGGGGATTTCCCTCAAGATTTCCTCATCCCTGCCCATGGCAGGGGGTTGGAACTAGATTATCTTTGAGGTCTCTTCCAACCCGAACCATTCTATGATTCACAATGTATGGCTTGTCATTAGGGCTAATCTGCCCAGACTCTCTCGCACTTACTTGGGATAGGGCAACAGGGAGTAAGTCACTGTGCCTCGGTTGCCTGGCAGTCAGCCACCCTTCTGCATATCTCCAGTAAGGCAAGGAAAGTAAATGGAGAAAGCCTATTCCGGGATTAATTCAAGCAAAAGTGCAAACATCAATTCAAAGTGACTCATTCGTATGTCACCTCCTCCATACGGAGAGATTACACTTTGTCAGAGCGTGACTGAGAACTAATGAGGAATAAAGGTCTTTTTCCTCCCGTCCCTGTGGTTGGTGTAGGCAAAAGCTCTCTAGGAAGACTCTAAATAATACAAGGTTGCCCTAATATAGCAAACAGTGCAGCGACTAGAATTATTGCATCATTCACTAAAGACAAATCCACAGTGAACTCAAGATAACCTTCACCCCCCCTCCCCCTGAGGTTTATCTTTTAACTAATGGCACCTCACTAGCTGACAATAGGTGATACAACTCAGTTTTTAGTCACAAAAACCTCAAGATTCTAAGTAGAAAATGCTTAGAAAGCTTGAACTAGTATGGGAATGAGCCTAGTAATTGCATAAATGCAGTTCATGTCACCTAACTCTACCTTTATCAATTCTTGATCTTTGCTCCAAGACCACAACAAGTAATTCTCCTGCACCAATTCCTGTTGCCAAGAAGTTCACTTTGAAAGAACAGGCTAATGCTCAGCAGGGAGCCAGAAGCAAGCAGCAGCAACGGAGCTGCAGGCTGATGCAAACTGTGCAGTCAAGAGCATATGCTTGTGCTGCTGCACAGCCAGAAACATGTCTCCAAGTCGGGAGACAAGTTGTTTCCTTATAAAGAAACTGAGCACTGCTGGCAAGTCAGTTCAGATTCCAAAAACGTTGAGAGTATTTAGTCTGGAAACTCAGAATTCACTGTTAAACTGCAGCTGGTAACTGGGACTGACCAGAAGCTGAAGGGACAATAGTACTAACTGCATCTTTTAGTTTTCCAAAGCAAAAGGCTGTTAGTAGCTGGTGCTACTCCTTTCCACAGCTGCTGTACACCCCTGGATTCATCTCACAGGCTGACATTAGCAGCCATTATATTGCTAGGGACAATGCAGATTTGTTCCATCTGAGAAAGCCCTATAGCTGTGTCATAGTATGTGTTGAAATGAACCCATAAACTCCTCGTGCAACCAACTGCTTCCAAAAAGAGCATACATTTATCATAGAATAATGTAGGACTCCCTCTTCAACCCTGGGCTTGTACCAGCCACAACTGGCTTTGTAAACATACTTAAAAAGGAAAAAAAACCCACAAAACACCAAACCCTAGACAGCTTTTGTTGTAAGGTGGCTGCAACCATTCTGCGTAGGGCAGCAACAGGATGACTGTCAAGAGCACTGGAGAAATGCCCCATTTGTAAATATATGTCCTCAACCAACCGTGTCTCTGCTGATTTGTCCAGAAGAATAGCTGGTGAGAAGCCTCCACCCCGTCAGTAACGACAGAATAAACATTTGTTAGTCTGAATTTCCTCTTTTTGGCCCAGTATCACTCTGCTCAGAGGATTCAATACAGCACATTCATTATTATTATTTTGTGCATTCTGGCTTGAACACTGCAGGGCTACAACAGCTAGCCTGGTTCTGCTCCTTTTTCAGCATGAAAGCAGCTACCCAACTCTGGACTGGTACGTGGGCGGCTGTTCATTGAGCAGTGTGAGTTGCAGGCACTTGTGGGATACAGGACCACCAGCTGGTGACATTTTGTTGTAGGGGACAGATCAACCCTGTAACGCTGGCAGCACCATCTTAAACCCATTCTTGGGACACAACTGCAAAGACTACATCCAAGTCCCCAGCCTGCTTCTTTCTATAGGTGTCAAGGGCCTTAACTGCAGGGCCTGTTAACCTCACTGAAACAAGGCAGCAGCGAGGAGGCAAGCCACCTACTTATCAGATGGGAAAATGATGCCAGTACAGCACATTCTGGAAGACATTCAGGCAAGAATGGATGGAGTAAGTTTCTCTGAGGGAATGGGCAAAAATGAGTTCTCCTCCAGTACTTCTATACAGCTATTGCAAAAGCAGCGTGGTCTTGCGGGCAGCCTTGCCTCGCACGTTATTCTGGAGCACTTATAGCAGTATCCCCATTGTGTTTTCATATATACTGCTGTAGGCACATGAGGTAATGGTTGCATTAAATGCCTTGTCAGCATGCGCTGCAGTAACACAGCGGCTCTTATTCCCGACACAAAGCCATCGTTCCTGCCTTAAGTGCAGAGCACTGCAGAAGTCTTGTGAGAGCAGAATGCTGTCCCTACACAGGGCAGCCCAAAGAGAGAGCCTTCTGTCTAGCAGGCTTCCAACTGCAAGAGCTGTCCCCAGCTGCCTCCACTAATAGCTTCCAACATTTTGCCTCCATCGCCAAGTATTCTACAACTGAAATGTAATCTAAATGGGGGAAGACTGAAGAATAATCCAAAGCTTTCTCAAGAAAATCCTCGTATACAGAAAGCCATTTCAGGAGTGAGGCACATGCCAGATGCCTGATAAACTGCATTTGTAGCAAGCTTGCACCGAAAGGAAACTCTGACACAATGAAATTTACCTTCTCTTTTGTTAGGAAGCACTGTGAACTCCAGTATTTCCCTTGAATATTTAGAATTTTTATGTAAGAAAAGTCTTTGTTCCCTCCTCAACTGCAAGACAGTCAAGAAGACTTTAAAGTAATGATTCAGTTTGCCTCAAGACTAGTTCAAAGGACTAAATTTGTATCAAGAATAGTGTAACCAGCAGGAACAGGGAAGTGATCCTGCCCCTGTACTCGGCACTGGTGAGGCCGCACCTGGAATATTGTGTCCAGTTTTGGGCCCCTCGCTTTAAGAGAGATATTGAGCTCCTGGAGCGAGTCCAAAGAAGGGCGACTAAACTGGTCAAGGGGCTGGAAAATAAAACTTATGAGGAGCAGCTGAGGGAGTTGGGGCTGTTTAGCCTGGAGAAGAGGAGGCTGAGGGGAGACCTGATTACGGC